CGGGCGCCGGGCTCCGGATTCCGGGGCCACGACCGCAGCCTCTCCGCTTCAGAGCAGCGGCTCCCCCAAACGTGAAACGGCCGTGCCTGGGAGAAGGCGGGCTCTTCCTAGAGAGGCTATTTCAGCCTAGAAAGAAGCCATCGGCCATAGAGTCTTTTGCCTGGCTGCAAAACTCGGCCTCCGAATTGGGACCCGAAGCCTCCAGTCACCAACCCAGCCGCGGTGCGGTTCAGTACAGAGGGCCTGGCAGGCACCAGGCCTGGACCCGCAGGAGTGAGGCACGTTGAGAGCTCCTGACGCGCCACAGGGGTCAGCGGGAGGGAGTGTTTTTATTTAAGCTGCTGATCCCTACGAGGCCCGTGCCCGCCGCCGGGGCCAGGCCCCTCCTGATCCGCTTTCAGCGCTGTCTCTCTCCTCTGCTTCCAGCGGCGGCACGCCCAGTACCCGAATAACACCCGAGTTCTCCAAGTGGGCCAGCGATGGTGAGTGTTCGCCCACAAATGCCTGTTCTCTGGCAGGTTGGGATGGTGGGGGCCTTGGTGATCTTCCACTTTGTGCACGTTGCGGGCACTTGCCTAGTCAGGGCTCGTCGCGACGGCCGGTGGAGGGAAGCAGCTGGCGATTTGGGGTATGCGTGGCCCTTTCATCCCAACCGGACCGCTGTTCACATGGGCACTCGCAACACCCTGTCCATCTGAGAAGGCCCCCCCGGCTATTCCTCACCACGGGCCTTCGAGGGGCCCACCCTGAGCCCCAAAGCCCGGGAAGGCTGAGTCAGAGGCCAGGTCAAGAGCAGCCACGGGGCCTGGGGAACCAGGATGGCAGTTGGTCACTCGTGGTGGGAGCCGTGGCTTGTCTCCCGGCACCACAGGTCCGAGACAGGGAGCTCTCAGGCCGGCAGTCAAGGAGTGAGGGTGGTGGCCGGGGGGCAGGTGTGTCTAGTCGTGGCTTGGAGGGATGTGACGATGGAAGTTCCCCCTTGCTAGCTCTCTCCCCAGCAGCAGCCACACCACCCTGGGTTGTTCTCTCCAGTCCCCGTAAGCCACTTCCCGCGGGCGCTGTGGGCTTGACCCCGACGCCTGTTCAGTGCTGCCTTGTCCCCTTCCCCGTTCTGAGAAGCCAGCTCAGACGAATGCAGGTTTCAGCGCCCGAAGAACGACGGAGGCTCTCAAATGAGTATCGCTGTGGGCCACAACTCAAGCCCCTTTCTTTGCGGGAGTTGATTTGTAAATGCTGGCAGCCCATGGGCACATACCTCATCCTACAGTAACAAACTAGCGGGGGGAGTGAGCAGGCCCACCGTAATGCGTTCTGAGAAGCCAGCTCAGACGAATGCAGGTTTCAGCGCCCGAAGAACGACGGAGGCTCTCAAATGAGTATCGCTGTGGGCCACAACTCAAGCCCCTTTCTTTGCGGGAGTTGATTTGTAAATGCTGGCAGCCCATGGGCACATACCTCATCCTACAGTAACAAACTAGCGGGGGGAGTGAGCAGGCCCACCGTAATGACACTGGGTACGCGCTGCCGTCCCTGCTGTGCAGAAGGGGCAGCAAGCGGAGCAGTGTTAGGAGACTTTTCCTCAGTCTCCCAGGAGACCCGGGGCAGGACTAGAACGCTGGGCCCTTGTCGCCCAGGCCTCTGCTCATCAGCATCCACACGAGACCGTAACCGAGCAGAGGCGAGGACAGACTGGGTGAAAGAGTCGGGAGGGAATCGGAGGACTTGCCGCAGAATGCGGTAGCAAACCCTTTCTGAAACGCAGCGCCACTGGCACAACCAGCTGGACGGCCACGTGGCAACTGCTGGATCTTTGGGACGCCGTCTGAGGCACAGGCCTTTCAGCCAGCCAGGAGCACGTATTGTGGGACTCCTCCTTCTCCCTGGGGATTGACAGTAAAGCGGCTCCTTTGCTCCTGCACCTGTTAACACGTGTAGACTTTTCCATCTGCGGTCTGACCATTCCTTTTACCAAACGCCCTGTCCCTCCCTCCACAGAAATGCCCTCGACGAGTAACGGGGAGAGCAGTAAGCAGGAGGCTCTGCAAAAGACCTGTAAGAACAGCGACATTGAGAAGTGAGTATACAGCGCCACAGCCCGGCCCGTTGTGGGGAGGGGACGCCCCGACCCCAGCTGTCCGGGTGACTCGGAGGGGCACGCAGGCACCCTTGTGCACTGAACCAGCTAGCCCTGAAATGTTACTTCCGTCCCAGACATCAGCCTCTCCACTCAGCACCCACCGTGTGAAGTGTCTGACAGCAGGGTCCCTGGCCTCGTGGGCCGAGGCCTGCGGGTGTTCATGCTTGGCAGCTATGCCTGCCTCAGTGCGGTCCTCTCCCGCAGGCCTGGGGGGGGAGGCGGGGTGACCACGTGTTGTATTTGGAAGTGCCCTGTGGTCTCCGGATCCCGCTCCGAAAGGAAGCCCCCCGTGCTCGCGGCCCTTCCCCCCCTCAGACCCTGCCGTGGGCCCTGCTTATTCCAGCTCCTCTCCGTGGCAGGGCTCGCGAGAGACCCGAAGGCCACGTTTTGAGGGCAAAGGCTGAATGCTCTTCCCGGAGGAGCCAGACAAGGGCTCCTAGTGAGACTCTCTGAGCCTCCATCTCCCAGGATCCCAGCATGTCGCATCTGCAGCCTTGGACCCAGCATTCAGACTGCGCAGCTGTGCTCTCCTCCCCGCTGCAGCGTGGACATGGCAGGGGCGGGGGGGGGGCATGTCACGCCGCTGGCGGGG